TTATACCCTCTCTCTGGTAATTTAACAGATTTCAACAGTGCGCCATGGACACACCATTTTTGAGAGGTACACGATCGTACTAAATAGGCCATTTTCCATAGCTATGTAACTATGTAACAAATGACTAGAGAGTATCCTGTCATGTCCTGTCATATCCTGCTAAAAATATGTTTGTTTGATCTTGCTGTGAGGTACTGTACTTTTGGCATAGTTCGTCTGTGTAATGATTAATGTGACCACGAACAGGTTGGGATGGCTTGGTTTGGGTGTTTGGCGATGGTTCATGTTGAAACCTATGTTACCATACTTGGGGGGATGAACCATAAACAACTGGAATTTGGCCGCCAGGGTGATTGGGTTATATTGGATTTTGACCCTAGGGCTATTTTGGGTCGCCAATTAGATTCCTGATGACCCATGATGTTTCAACACCTGCGGGAGTGGGAATGCCTGCGGCCTGCAATGAATTCCGCAACGCTAAGCACCGAGATGATGGGAAAATGCCACAGATATCCACTGATACCTTCTGGCAATCTAACATAGCCATGGAAAATTGCCATGTTGAATAGGCAAATCATCATAATCATCTGTTCTATCTACTTTCAAGGCTTTTCGGGTATGTAAAAGTATTAGACGAGGGTAGCAAAACTTATCATTCCTGGGGGGTCCAGACAGCAGCCTGGGAAGTGCATATGGCAAGGTTCAGCTGACACCTGACAACGTTGGGGGCACCGAGGATCAGACCTGTTCCCACTGTGGCATTGCTGGACCAACTGATGCGGTGAATGTAAACGTGTTCATTGGATATCTTCGTTCAGGGGAAGTATGTGAGCGAGAGCAAGGGAGAGTGTGAGAGAGAGAGAGGGCAAAAGTAGTATACAATAATATACATGTATAGAATTGTATAGATATATAATGATATATTTAGTTGTTTCAATTTAGGAAAAGTATCATGAATCCATCTTGGGCCAGGTTCAGTATTCAGACATATTAAAAGAGCGAGCTGAACGGATCGCATGCCTGCGCAAAGGTGGAGAATATCCATAAGTTGGGAGGCAGCATCTTGGTCTCTGACCGTGGCAACCCTCCACACTCAGAGATTGCGAAGGCCAGCAGATCCGGTCCAGTGACTGAAACGTTCGGATGACATGATCAGTATTGGACATCCAACATGTTAGCCCAATTTGACTTTACCGTCGTGTTAGATTCTGACGTGCAGCACGAACAAGCCGTCATGAATTTGCCGTTGCTCAAACTGATGGTTCAAGCGCACTCGTCAAAGTTGGGCAGCAGTATTGAATCATCATGGGCGTCATTTCCTCATTTCCGCCATCAGCTCAACACAGGAAGGTGACACTAAGGGGTCCTCAGCAGCGTTTTGTTGCGTAGAAATCGTGAAATCGTTGTTGCCATGCTGCCGAATTGTCCGGCTTGTCGCTAGCTCAGCTGCGTTGCTGTGACATGCTGCAATGGATGACTTAGGCATGTGAATCATGAACCGTTGGAGATTTGTGGGCTGAAGGCACCTTTGTTTGATCATGGACTCTTGACTCACATATCATATAATCTTGATTAATCTTGCCGAGTTGCCCCACAGGGTCTTTGGGACACCGTTGGTTGTGCTGCAGTCGATGTCTGTGGCGAAAAAATATGGACTTGACATGACTTGACATGGCGCGATTCCCAAAAGCAGAGGGTGGCCCGGATAGATCCAGTTGCTTACTTTTATTATTGCTATCATAAATTTATTTATGTATGTTTATTTCATTTTTAAATTTAGATACTGGATCATAGTGGTATTTTTACATCATATTTCTATCATATAGATGGACCTCCGGCGACCGTTTGGAGAGCCGAGGTACCAAGATGTCCAACTCAGCGGTGGGATTGACGCCAGGCGGGTTTTTTTCATGCACCAGCAACGTGTTTCCCAACATTTTTGAATCATGAGAATTACCCTCTGGTAAACTAACATAGTTATTGAAAATCACCATGTTTAATGGGAAAATCCACTATAAATGGTGATTTTCAATAGCTATGTTAAATTACCAGAGGGTATGAGATGATGAAGACTTCTACTAGATTCACTAGATCCAAGATTATCCAAGATGATCCAAGGGTATGGCGAATATATGTGAATTTGATCTTGTGACCTTTTCTGGGGTGTTTAAGGGATGTTTATCTCCTCTTAAAAAGGGGATGTTTCATGCCGAGGTGAGTTCCAGGACTCCATTGAGAAGGTTTTTGAGACTTTCAAAGCGGAGTGGCTTGGAAACGTCCAATTCATCGACAGTTTTGCCATGTTTTTCCCATGGAGGACTTTACATTGCCTTGTTTGACTTGAGGAGACTTACAAGATGTAAGAGACTATGAAAATCCACCAGAGATTGGTAGCCGCTGTGGCATGTTGGTGGTCGACGTGTCGTGCTTCACTGAGTCCTTCGATGTTTTCTTTACGGCTTTGACTTGGTCACCTTTTGCGGAAAAGTCAAAGATTCGAGTCAAACTACACAATTTAAATCAATTTAACCTATATTGGACATAGATCCAGGCAGACCAAAAGGTCCGGCAAAAAACAAAAAGATGATGATACATCTGGGTAAATTATAACGACCTCACTGCGACCTCACTGGGAATCATGGTTAATAAGGGAAATCATCCCCAAATGGCCTTAATTCAGGTTAGTGAAATATTGTAATTTGCCCAGATACATGTGCCCCACGTTCCGCGCAATCTTCGGAGATCAGCCATGTCTTCGCAGCTAAAGCGGGTGCCCAATGGCATCCCAATGGCCGATCTCAGGATTTTTCATCTACACAAAGCTTCATATGCCGATGTGATGAGAGAGAGAGATTCCTTGAGGCCCCGGACGGGATGGGACGGGTCTCCATGATCTTTCGGGGATGGGATGGAATGAATGATATGAATTTTCCAATGAAATTCTAGTCAATCATGATCTGGAATATAATCTGATTAGATATTATAATCTGATTAGTCAGAATAATTAATGATATATTCCATAATTAGATTGAATATACATCATCGATAGTCATATTATATGTATAGTTAACTAGTTAGGTGTATATCTATATGTTCTTTTTATGCATGTGTTTCGAAAATGATGTTTGACAAGATAAATCATAATTAGTCAATAGTCATATGAAAATTCATGAAATACGCATATATATATATTATTATTGTTATTATTATTATTATTATTATTATTATTCACCCCGCTTCGCGTGGGGTGGCCGCCCACACCGCAGGTTTATTTCGGTCAGTGAGAGGGGCTAAGGGTGGTTTTCCCCCGTGGGGGCTCCCCAAGCTAAGACTTTTCACTTTCCCCCGTGGGGGCTCCCCAAGCTAGGGAATTTTCACTTTTCCCCCCCGTGGGGGCTCCCCAAGCTAGGGAATTTTCACTTTTCCCCCCCGTGGGGGCTCCCCAAGCTAGGGAATTTTCACTTTTCCCCCCCGTGAGGGCTTCCCAAGCTAAGAATTTTAACTTCCCCCCCGCGTGGGGGCTCCCCAAGCTAGGGAATTTTCACTTTTCCCCCCCGTGGGGGCTCCCCAAGCTAGGGAATTTTCACTTTTCCCCCCCGTGGGGGCTCCCCAAGCTAGGGAATTTTCACTTTTCCCCCCCCGTGGGGGCTCCCCAAGCTAGGGAATTTTCACTTTTCCCCCCCGTGGGGGCTCCCCAAGCTAGGGAATTTTCATGAATTTTCACTTTTCCCCCCCGTGGGGGCTTCCCAAGCTAGGGAATTTTCACTTTTCCCCGCCGTGACAGCTTCCCAAGCTATGGAATTTTCACTTTTCCCTCCCTTGGAGGCTCTCCAAGCTGCGGAGTTTCAAATAGCTAGACAACGACGCCTAGATAGTCCCCCCAAATCCCGTGTTCTTTGAATGTGTTCCCATGTTTTTGCCATGGTTTCCTTCAAAGCACGGTACTTTACACTTTTGTCGCCATAAAACCGGTCGAAAACATCATGTTCGACAATGCTTCCAATTCCCTTATCTCCCCAACCGTTGAAAATACCGCTATTTACAGTGTTTTCTTCAATCCATGTGCCAATGCCGGTAGCCAACTCCAACATATATATATATATATAAGAAATCCTTCCAAAACATTTTTTTTGACAGTGTTTTTCCAATGTTTCCAGTCAAACAGACGGTAATTTACACGTTTTTTGCCACAAAGGCAGTAAATCCTTCCAAAACATTGCTTTTGACAGTGTTTTTGTAATGCTTCCAGTCAAGCATACGGTAATTTACACGTTTTTTGCTATAACGTCAGTCCAAAACACTTGTTTTTGCAGTGTTTTCAATGCTCTGGCATCCAAAAACCCTGCAAAATCTTGCTATGTACAATGTTTTTTTCGTTTTTGGCCGTTTTTCCATTGCCGGAAAGCTACCAAAATGACCCAAAATTCCATTTCAATACCCTCTTGCGCTCAGACACCCAAAAATCCTCGAAAAATGTCGAAAACACCACCGTATTCTGGTCTCGGTGCGAAACCGTTTTTGGGCCCCCCCCCCAGCTAAAGCTGATATAGCGACTGCTATATTAACAAATGTCATTGAGCATTTAGTGTTGCTGTTTTGCCCCCCAATAAGCACCCCTTCACCGCCAAAGCGGTGTGGGCGGATTTTCACATTCATATAATACGATGCAGCATAAGTACCACAGTGATGCAAGTTGACACGCGCATGCACACACACACACAGACAAGGAGAAACAGACGTCATCATTGTGCATACTCGTACAATCTCGTATGTACATAAAACGCATTCCGCATATCTCTGCATCTAATTCTTGTTTGCCGCGTGCTCGTGCACTGGTCATGTCTGTCTTTCCTTTGCAATTCAGTTTTCTCCAGCCATGAGGTGGAGACTTTGCTCCAGGACACAGTGAACAAGTGTGAACAAATGTGAACAATTTTTCTAGAAATTTCTAGCGGCTAAAAAGCTTGGATGAAGCCAACCCATGATTCCCCCATGATCAGATGGAATCCCTCAAAGGAAGAGCTTTGAAGGTGGGACCGGACCTGTACGTCAAAGTGCAGTTGTTTTTTCATTTGAATATTTTGAATATCCGGCTCAAATGAGTCGACAGGCTGTGTTGGTATGTGGCTTCATGATGCTTCATGTGTTTGAACGATTGCAGACCGAAGGAGCTTCGGCGACACTCTGCAGATGTTCCCACAAGGTCTGGGCGTCAGTACACAAATCTTTCAAGCACTGTGTTCAGGACGGTACTGGTCCAGTGCATACCGTTCAACATACCGTTGCATACCGTATGTTCGTGCCGGAAGTGTTCAGCATTGTTCATCTTACTGTGATAATTTCTCACGGTATAACTTCTGTGGGAGGAGTGTTTCCATTTCACTTTCTTAGTTGTAAGGTCCAGTAGCCAAGCATTGAAAAAAGGGCAAACCTGCGTGTGGCTTTGACTCCTCCAAAGTTTCTGTGTGTGGCATCTCACCGCCGTTTGAGATCTTTTTGCTGGACTTACTGTATCCGCGCTTTCCTCTCGTAGCAGATCATGTCCAGAACATCGACGAGGGCACATCATCCTCCTGCCAGTCCTCAAGACATTTTCACCATGCTGTGTGGACGGCAATTGAAGGCATCTTAGACATCTTAGGTCAAGTGCTGAAGTTTCGAAGGTTTGTTGATGTATGTTGCAACATGTTGGGTAACATGTTGCGTCGCATAATCTTGCATTGAGACACAGTAAAGACCCCCGCTGAGTGCAGTCAATCGGTCCCTGAGGTTAAGAACACCTTCTTGGATGACGTTGTCCGTGAGCAGTCTTCCAATGAGTCCACCCTTGCTGAAGCGCAGACATGTCCCGAGTTCAGGAGCAGAAATGATGCATTGTCAAGCAGTTCAGCTAGCATCTCAGGCAGTGCGACTGCCAGTGCCACGCAGTCTGAGTTGTGCCTGGGTACTGACCCAGAGCTGATGCACACCTTGCAGTCCTTGCCGAACACCTTGCAAACTCTGTCACCACTATGCTCTTTGCGGTACCAAGTCGCAGAGGTCCCAGCCTCCGAAGCAGACTTCACAGACGTCGTGCCACCAAACACGATGCCTATGACCTTGGAGCTTTGGCCAGACCAAATGAGCCACGAGGCCCAGCTCTTGTCCGCTCTGCAAGCAATGCCCAATGTAAGCAACGCGCCATTTGGACATTTGCTCAATGCGTCCAATGCACAGTCACCACTGTCACCACCACCAAGAATTCATGACGCCTTGGGTGCCAATCTCAGTGCGATGGCCGCAGTCACAGCTTTCCCATCAGTGATGCCGATGCCGAATGTGCCAAGTGTTCCTTGGGCACCCCCTGTTTTGAGCACTATCCCACCAGCCAATGAGTTTTTGGCACAAGTGTCTTGTCAGATAGTTTGTTTGCCAGCCATGGAGGTTTTGTATGGTTTTGTGTCATTGGTGCTTGGGTGCCCTTGCAAGGCAGAGAATGTCATAGGAAGGGGGAAAGCCATGGAAAGCCTGCTGATTATTGGATTGCTGGCTGAGCTGTCGTTTGCATGCATTGACCGTCTATAATCCCGGCGCAATACAGACATTACAGACATGGCAAGCTATGTAATGTCGCAAGAGTCATTCTGTGCTATTCCAAAGCTGAGCCAGCAGTTCGCAGCCTTGCTTCCCTTCCCAGAGGATCGTGGGATTGATTAACGAATATTAACGATTACCCTCTGGTAAACTAACATAACTATGGAAAATCACCATGTTTAATGGGAAAACTCGCTATAAACGGCCATTTTCAATAGCTATGTTAAATTACCAGAGGGTAATAAGCAAGGACGCTTAGGCCAAGTATCCTGCCGCAAGTGCGTCTGTTTTAGATGCATCCCAGCAACTTATGTCGGGGTTGGATCGTAGATCAGATTGTCAGAGAGACGGAGTGCCGTACTTCACATCCAGCATAGATATGTAAATACATACTCCTCCTAAGATATGCGAATCCCAGATTTCTGAGCAAGCAAAGCAAACAGAGCAAACCTTTCTCGAATTGCTGAGGTGGGGCAAATGGAGGCCGGACAATGCGATCCAGAACCTGCACAACGCCCTTCACAAGATGGCAAAGCTTTTGGTGAGAGCCAGATCCAGAAGCCGCACGAGGCATGTGAGGCGGATGCACAGGAGGCACTCGAGGCATACGAGGTCGAGGGCAAGGATGGTCGAGACAAAGAGAAGTCTGAGAAGAAGAAGAAAAAGAACGTCTCCAAGGTTTGGTCCCATTTCTACCTGGAGCCTACCATGCTTCGCAGTGGATTTGATGTGAACAAGAAGATCATTGGACACGGCGGTGCCAATACCAAGCGCATCTTCGAGAAGACAGGAGCTTTGGGGGGCTTTGGACACTAACATGAGGGCTGTACAATTGACATTTCAAGATATTTCAGGATATTTTATTTCTCTCAATGTCTCTCCATTATTCTCAATGTCTTTCCAGTATTCTCTATGTCTCTGAATGTTTCTCATTTCTCTACAGGGAAGCATGAGAAAGCATGTGGTAAACAATTACATCATGAAAGTGCCCAGTTATGTACATATTAATGTTGTCATTGATTTTGTCAGTCATTTTGTGTTGTCTTCCATTGTGGCTGCGCTCCTTGCCTTCAGTGTTTTCTCGTGGGAGAAGAAGGCAAGAGAAAAGATTCACGTTGAAAATCTTTGAGGCACCAATCATGAGATTGAAATAGATTGAATGCATATTCAAACGAATTCATCATAAATCATCATAAATCTACTTATTCAGAATGAGGCAAACCTAGGCAAGCGCGGAATGCCCCTATCTCCGCTACTTATATATGTTTGTAGAATGTATACACTGTATATAGTCTATTCTGCTCCGTTCTGCTCCATTGTCATATACGGTGATCCCCAGTACTTCATGGTGCTCACTCGCGCTCCATTATGCTCCACTATACTCCACCGTCCAAGTACCGCACCAATCAGCACAGGCACAATTTTGAGGAGTCCATGTCTTCGAAGTGTAAAGTATCAGACCGCAGCGGCTGCATATATCCGCCTGATCATGTCATATTGCGATTTTTTACAAGCTATAACTATGATTGCAATTGATTGCACATATATAATATATACATAATTATATATAGAGAGATCGGCAGACACACACGCACACACACACATATATATATATATATCATAATATATTATTATGTATATTGTACATGCGTGATCAGTATGATCGTTTTTACGTTTCTGTGTCAAGTCCGAAGGCTAAGGCACCTCTTCCAAGTCGTGCAGCCAAGGCACCTCCAACGATGATTCGTTCTCTGCCAAGTAGGCCCTTACACAAAACTAAACAAACTGCTTGTATATAAGCTTTTCCTGACTTTTACATGTTTTTTCTTGGCTTTTCCATGCTTTTCCCGGCTTTTCCATATTTTTCCTGTCTTTTCCATGCTTTTCGTGGCTTTTACATGCTTTTCCACGCTTTTCCATGCTTTTCCTGGCTTTTCCATGCTTTTCTTGGTTTTTCCATGTTTTTCATGGCTTTTCGTGGCTTTTCCTGGCTTGTCTTGCTTTTCCATGCTTTTCTTGGCTTTTCGTCGCTTTTCCATGCTTTTCTATACTTTTCCATGTTTTTCTTGGCTGTTCGTAGCTTTTCCTGGCTTTGCCATGCTTTTCCTGTGCACACAAACTTCATGACATGTGCATTGGACCATCCACCCAGGATTGAGAAGATTCACACAGAAGCGGCATCAAAGTAAGATCAAGTATCTAACCCTTGCATTAATGCAGGTCGTTTGCTGGCCCTGCCTGTGTGCTTGTGAAAGTTGTGAAAGTATGCAAAACATTAGCAAAAAGTCACCTTTGACGCATCCTGTGACATCCTGGGTTGTTGAGGAGCAAAGATCCGTTTGAGAGGGCGTGGTAGCGGACATAACGAGGGAGAACGCGGTGAGGCCCCGGTGCCTTTGATGCTGGCTGTGCAATCCTCAGTGCAGAGACTTTTGCTGCCATACATAATCATAATGTTACATAATCATACATAATCATACATAATCATACATACACACATATACACACATATACATATATAATCATATATATATAATATCATTACATACGATACAATGCAAATCTCTGCAGACCGGATGATTTGCTGATTCAATCATAGTCATTGGTGGTTTATGGATTGTTTTGTTTTCTCATGTTTTCTCCAAGAAATGATCATTTATAAAGTGGGTCAGCTATGGTCAGCTGAATAATCTCATATAATCTCTGCACCGTTCCGCGACAGGCGCCTCTGAACAGTCTTACAAACCCGAGTAAACCCCTTCTGAGAGTTGGCACCACGAAGTTGGCCCTGATTAGGTCTTACTATGTCTTACTGTACCGACTCTTACAATATTGTTGGAAGTTTATATAAGTTTATTATATACATATTTTATGGTTTATTCGAGGGGACCACCGGAGCAATGGATGCTTTATGTCAGCATTCTCATGCATTTACTTGTGCGATTGGTGCTGGTGTTTCGATGAACACCGATGGACCTATTTCTAATTTCTGTGCCAATATGTATTCGCTCTATGTTGTTGTTTTCTTTTTGTTTGTTCGAGCGCTTGCCTTCCAAATCTTCCTAATGAAGTTGCTGTCATCTACCTAGCAGACAGTCTGGCAATCAATGTTTGGAGTCCAGCAAATGCACTTGGGGAGTCCTCTCTGGCTGTCTATCTCAACTGAATTTGCTGCAGACACATAATACGATTAAATGCAGTGGAAAACAAATTATTGTTTGAAATGACAAACACAGATGAAAGAGAGTAGGGTGGCTGGGAGGGATATGAATTGTTTGATGTATATCATTTTGGCTCTAGATAGAGCCCATTTTGACCCCCCAGTTAATTACTGGGTGGGGTGGTGGCTGAAGATGTCTTCTTTGGTGCCGTCCGCGACGGTGTTGGAGCAATGGAGGACTCTGACAGATGCGGCGGCTTGGGCAAGTGTAGATCAAGGGATGCTTAGAGCTTTCAATCGTCAATTAGGAGATCCTGTCAACGATTCTTTACCTGTGATTGCTATTATCCCTGATGATCTCATACAACAAGCAATGGGTTCAGCGGTCCGTGGAACTAGGCCGTTTTCGGCCATTGAGAAAGCGCAGTTGTTACTCATGATCAATGCAATCCGTGCAAAGTATGGCCAAGCTGCAGTGTCAACAGGTGCAACAACTCCAGGTGTTACGGAGCTGCCAGTGAACTCCTCACAGCCAGGGTCCAGCAAGGTTAAGCTGAAGCTAAGTCAAATTATTGACCAAGGCTCTGATATGGAAATTGAACAACTTGACCAACTGACTATACAGAAGGCTAGAAGGAAGTATATACAATCGGAGGGTGATGCTCCACTGGAAAAGGAAGAGGTGACAGACGCTCAGTTAAGCTGTTTGCATGCAAAACTGCGTCATGACCAAGCCCCATTCACTGACATGGGTGTTTGGGGTCCTTACGGGGACAGGCTTGCAAGGCAAATGAAATTCACTTCTCAGGTGTTGAAGGATGGACAGTGGCGCACGGTGGAGATGCCAGGTGCATCGTCTTTCACTGCATGGGAGGAGGCATGGCGCATCTTTCGGACAGCAGCCATAATGCTAAATATGGCTAGCCCCTCTGTACTGGACAGGTATGCCTCTGAGTTCAAAAACCGTGTGCAAGAATACCCTGACTGTTGGCATATCGCAGCGCAAGCCGACATCTGGTGTCGCAGTGAATACTGGCTGCAGGAGAAGCGACGTCAGGAAGAATTTCATCACGCTCAACCTACGTTGTCAGTTTATAACTCTGCACAGCCATGGAACAGCGTGATCAAGGCGGCAGCGAACGCCACCGAATTCTGGCACCGTGAGTTTGAGAAGCCGGCGTTGCTCTACAAGGTCAATGGCCCCAGGCCCATGAAGGCAACCTACGACCAACCCAAGGGCGGAGGCTTTCCCACAGGGGCACCGCCTGCTGGAGAAAGGCGGACACATGAACCGAAACGGAGAGACGGCCGGTTCTTCAAGTCAACTGCTGGCGTCAACATTTGTTACGAATGGTCGCGCAATGAAAATGGATGTGGAGAAGGACCTTGCCCTAGGGAAATGGCACATGTTTGTGAATGGTGCCGCCAACCCCACAGAACAGTACACTGTCCTCAAGTACCTGGTTGGACGCTAGAAAAGTCGAAGGGCAAGGGCTCGGGCAAGAAGGGCCGGGGGTCTGGAAAGGGTGCATCAAAGCGCCCACGACACATGTGACAAACTACAAAGCCGGACGGGCAGCTGGAGGAGGAGATGGTTGCAATCGAATCGGTTGAGGATAGACTTTCAACTCTTAGAAGCAAGCTCCGTTTGGCGAAGGCAAAGCATGATGCGAATTCGATAGACTGCAGAAAGCGAGCCTTTTGTGATGAGGCCAGTGACAATGGGCTGAATGACACAACATTCTTGGAGATTTTTGCTGGAGAGGCAGGTTTAACTGGTGCAGTGCGAAGGTTGGGCATTGTTGCGTTGGAAGCTGTTGATATACATGCGTGCAATTCTAATGATTTACAATTTGACCTTACAAGGAATGAGCCTTTCAAAAAGCTGAAGAAGCTGATCAAGACCAAGCGTGTCCGTTGGTTGCATTTGGCCCCGCCTTGCAAGACATTCAGTCGTGCCAGAAGACGCGACAGATGGGCCAAAGTTCGGAAGTTGAGGTCACACGCCAAGCCAGAAGGGTTGGAACCACGTTCGCGACTTGTCAAGGAAGCAAATCTTTTGGCTTCACGCAGCGCGCAGCTTGCAAAGTTACAGCACAAGGTGAAAGGTTGGTTTAGCATTGAAAACCCCGAAAAATCATTTATCTGGATTTACAAGCCGTTGGCGCTGCTCCGGCGGTTGGACGGAGTTAGATTCCTTGTTGGTGATCAATGCATGTTTGGTGGTGAATACAGAAAACCGACTGGATGGTTGACAAACGCACCTCATTTACAGTGTCTTGAGAAGAGATGTCCCGGAGGTCCAGGACACGAACACCCAGCACTTGTAGGACTTGCGGAAGATTTTGAAGGCAATGTGGTTTGGAAAACTTCGTTAGCAGCTGAGTATCCTGAAGGTCTTTGCAACACGCTTGCAGCGGAATATCAAAATTGTTTGCAGAAATTTGGTGTCAGACAAGCGATGGAAGAGGTTCTCACAAAGGAAGGTGACAAGCAGAACAGGCCAGACTCTCAAGTGTGGCGGCGCGAAGTTGAAAACGCGGAGTGCATAGGAGGCATGAGAAACCCCGCTTTGTCTGTCTTGCGTGTACCAGGGTTGCGTGGTGTTGGTGCAAATCTATTTTGGTTTTTGGATCAGCTGCAATTTGAATATAAGAGTTTAAATGAGTTGGTCAAGCACGTAGGTGGCAACAAAAACAGCGTTTTGGAGCCGCTAACAAAACATTTACAGACCGAGTTTGCCAAGTATATGTGCATTCCATGGCCAGAGCGAAGTTGCGGATTGTGGGCGGAACTCTTCATGAAACTGGTCGACCTGGCAGGAGATCCTGACAGGGAGGCAGCTACCTGGCCAAAGGCCGGAACACCACTTGGAATCTGCGAGAGGATACCACCGGGGGGTGTTTTTCCCCAGGTGGACCACAAACAGTTTTTGACAGAACAAAATAGACTGGAAGCAATAGCTGGACTGGTAGGGTCGGAAGGCAATTACATTTCATATGATGAGAACAGAGCAGATGCCGATGAGCTGTTCATCAAGGAGATGGAAAATGGCTACGTTGACTGGTCCACTGATCAAGGGTCACTGGAAAAGAAATACGGACCCTTGGTGCAATCAAGCATTGGAGTCATTGTAAAATACAAGAAGGACGTGAAGAAGGTGAGGCTGGTACATGATTTGCGTAGAAGCGGCATCAACAATACAATTCAGTTTGGTGAAAGATTAGTCTTGCCCCGTCTGCGTGATGTTGTCGAAGATGCAATGATCTTGTTTGAAGCTCTGGAGCCAGGTGAAATGGTAATGCTACTGAGTCTGGATTTTAGGGATGCGTTCAAACAACTGCCAGTGAGGGACAGCGAGAAGAGGTTTTTGTCTGGAATGGCGGCTGGTGGTTACTTTGTTTATCATGTTGTCTTATTTGGAGTGCGTACAGGTCCATTGGTATGGGCTAGACTGGCGGCTATGGTATCGCGCTTTACGCAGTCCATGTTTGCGCATGATCGTTGCAGATTGCAAGTCTACGTGGACGACCCGTTGATTTTGATGCGTGGTAAGCCGTCACAGATTGAGGATATTTGTAATAAGATTTTATGTTTATGGGTAGCAATGGGTTTGAAGATCTCCTGGAGTAAAGGGACTCTGGGCGAAGCGGTTGAGTGGATTGGCGCGCAGCTGGAGCTAGATAATAGCCAGAAACTGATACGATTGACGGTCACTTCTGAAAAACTGGAAGAGTGGAAAGCGCTGCTGTCAAGGTTGGATACGAAGCCAATGGTGTCACGCAAACTGCTTACACAATTCACTGGAAAGATGAGTTGGGCCGCGGGTTTTCTAATACAGTTGCGGCCCTTTGTAAGGATGTTACACACTGCTTTATCCGTTCAATCCAAGGTTTCTGACAAGGGCGCAGTTTATCACAGACAAGTGGCACCTGCAATTCAGTGGTTTCAGCATTTGTTTTCAGATTTGAAGGGTAGTTTGCGTTGGGAAGTCCGAGCACATTTGAGGCAACAGTGTGCGTTGCATCTTGTTGTAGATGCCTCTCCTTGGGGCGGCGGAGCACTTTTATATGAGAACAACAGGCCAGTCCGAACGCTTTCTTTGATTTGGAACGAAGATGATGAGAAACGCACTGGAGCAAAAATAGGTGATCCAGCTTCCCAGGCCTTGTGGGAAGCTTTCATGGTACTCCGAGCAGTGTGGTGTTGGTTGAAGCCTAATCGTCAAGGTTTTGTCAGAGTGGTAGGCGACGCTGAAGGTGTTTTGTCTGCCTTGCTTAAACGCTCTGCTAAGGCGCCATTGTTGAATGCAGTGGTGCGAGAAATTACTCTTTTGCTAGCCAGAAATTTTCAGGCCTTAGAAACTGTCCACGTGTGGTCAGAATATAACGAGTGGGCAGATGCTTTGAGCAGGATCAAAGATCCTAACAAACCAGCAGTGTACCCAAGGGAGCTGCAACATTGCATACACGTAGAGGATGCTCCTCAATACTGGCATGGGCCGTTGGGGAAGTAAAACCAGGCCGTGTGTTGTATGCACATCTGTTGTGAGATGCAGTGGTTTGCCAGCACGGAGAACTGTTGTAAGCAAAGCTCCAGGGAAATTTTGTCACCTTGGCTCAGGCAGGGATGTGGACGCCCACTGGAATGGCCAAGCGACCCAAGGACAGCCCGTGTTGTACGCCCGGGAGGGTCAGGGGGCATAACTAATTAAGTTGCATATGTTTGATACAGGGTTTACCGTGGTATGCGGTGGTTTCTTGTGGGTTGCATGCCTTGGAATTTGTGGGAATTAGTTGATTTTATATATTAGGATAGATAGAGAGACGTCGATCAGTGCAGAGCTTGAACATGTCAGGTGCAGTCTGAATTGATTGTTTGTTTGTTTGGTTTTGCTTTCTGTTGATTCCGGCACCTGCATTTTCACAGGCTGATGCAAAGCATTCTTGAAGTTGGCTTGATCACAAGGGATTGTGGCTCAATGAAACGCGCGCACGAAAGTTCGCTCCACGATGATTTAGGTCGCGCATGGGCAGGGGTGAACACGTCACAACCCCTGTCAACAGCAAAAACGCCTGCAAACGAAACTTTGCAAGTGGCCAAATCATGCGAATTATGTGGTGTGCAAATTGACGGAACCCCGGATGCTTGTGAAAACTGCGATGCCGGTCCGTTTCATACCTTGTGCCTGGCGGACCATAGCTGCTCAGGCGATGCCATGGGGGGGGAGGATCGCTTACAAAGGTCCTTCAGTCCCAGTCAGCAACCCTCCTTTGGGGATGGAGAGGGGGACAATCTTCTTCATCAACCCCTAACAGCTTTGAAGTTCGCCACTAGGGAACAAGGCCAGTTCGCTCACTGGCAGATGAGAGCTGCAGCAGTGGAACTTGAACCGGACGAAGATGATCCAGAATTGATTCAAGAGGCAAAAATTCAAGGTGAGGAAGACGGTAGAGAGTCCTTCGAGAAATTTCGTAGAGAACAACCAGACGTCAAAGAGTATGCGAGAGGTAGCAACCAGAAACTTCAACAGGTCATGGTGGACGAGGCTCTGTTGGCCAAGGCCATGGAAGAGTTTCAGAGTGAGAAGTACGCCCATTCCAACAAAGCTTCGCAAGAATCAAGGGCCAAGTGGTGGCCAGATAAGGCAGAGTTTTTGGGAATGGCGCCATACCCTCTTACTGCAGAGAAAATAGATACGCTGGGCTCCCTCTTGAAAGTAGGACAGTATCGGAGCAGCGCCTTATACCTGTCTGCAGCCAAGCAGTCCCATGTGCAGTTGGGGTTCCCGTGGTCGGAGCAACTTGAGCAAGCAGTCAAAAACGCAATTCGATCGTGTGTCAGAGGACTTGGGCCTGACAAGCGTTGCCCGGCTTTGGACTTGAGGAAGGTGTTTGAGCTCAGCGACCTTCCTCCTTGCAAAGCGGGCCCCATGTTCCCGCGAGAGACTGTGATTGTGTTTGCTCATTTTGCTTGCCGCGAGATTGAAGCTAGCTGCAGAACTCGCGCAGACATCTCCTTCGAGGAGGGTGACCTTTGTGGCATTGTCTCCTTGTGGCTTCCTGCATCCAAGACGGATGCAAGAGGCACTGGAATCTTGAGGCGTCAAGGATGCACCTGCTCTGTGGATCCCAAGCGATGCCCAGTGAAAGCTGCTAGAAGAATCTATGACTATGGCACGTCTCACGGCGCTAAAGAATCAGACCCATTCCTCTCGACGGAAGATGTGACCATCGCGCCTACCAAATCTTCCATGGTGGAAACCTTCAGGTTAGTAGCAAAGGCTCTGAACTGGAAGGATGAAGAGGTCAAGGCTATGACTGGCCATACGTTGAGGGCATCCGGGGCTCAATACTTTGCGCGATGCGGCATCGAGTACTACAAGATACAGCTGTATTGCCGATGGGGTAGCGACACAATACTCCGCTACTTGCGAGAGGCACCGCTTGATGATTCTGAAATGTGGCTCACCCACTCTATGAAAAGGGATTCTCTCAATGAAGTGATGTGTCAGACGGCATTGAAACTCAACAGTGACAAGCGAAATGTGTCTGACAAGGATGTAGAGAGAATTGTCGCAGCAGCCTTGGAGACACGGGCAACAGCCATCCTTAGTGCTGTGGAGGCCAAAAGAGATGATATCCAGGACATGATTGACTCATTACTGAAGACAAAGATCAAGATGGACGACCATTGGGCAGGTGAACTAGCACGCCGTTTTTTGCCTAAATTTGTAGTCAATTTGAACTCAAAGAAGTGCCATGCAGTGAGAGATTCCCAATGTACAGGGTGTGGGTTTGAGTGGCGCAATTCTAAGGATCATGATCTGTGTTACGAACTAGGAAATGACGCCAACAAATGCGAAGCAACTGGCTGTCAGAAGCTCTTTAAGCGTTTCGAGCTGTGAAGCTGCACAAAACATCCATCCATGTGCTAGTGCGGGCGTTGTGTTGCAAGCACTTGGTTGTATGCCTTGTGGTAGCAAGCCACTGTGTGATGGCAGGACAGGGGATGGAGTGGTATCTCACCCAACGTCCTGGAGCACACACACAACCAGTTCGAGAAGGCTGGAGCACACACATGATGAAAAGGGATGGCTGGGAGGGCTGACAGTTCGAAATCGCATGATTGTCGTGGAAAACAAATTATTGTTTGAAATGACAAACACAGATGAAAGAGAGTAGGGTGGCTGGGAGGGATATGAATTGTTTGATGTATATCATTTTGGCTCTAGATAGAGCCCATTTTGACCCCCCAGTTAATTTCCCACCCGTTCCCAAAGAGGGCTCTCTTTATTTCCCATTAACTGGAGGGCGTTGTGTTGCAAGCACTTGGTTGTATGCCTTGTGGTAGCAAGCCACTGTGTGATGGCAGGACAGGGGATGGAGTGGTATCTCACCCAACGTCCTGGAGCACACACACAACCAGTTCGAGAAGGCTGGAGCACACACATGATGAAAAGGGATGGCTGGGAGGGCTGACAGTTCGAAATCGCATGATTGTCATAAAACACATGCACAAATCTACGTATACAAATGTATTTTGATTTGTGTACAATGTGTACTCTTGCACAGACATCTACATGTACATATATACCCATGCATTGAGGTTGGCAGGCTTGGGTGTGCATGTATCATCTTCAAGTGAGTCAATGAATGCTATCATTTTGGCTCAAGTGGAGTTGAACCAAAGTAGCATTCATTGCTTTTCTTTCCCCACCCACCTAACCCTAAGAGCCGACCTCCCGTGGAGACGTTTGCCTAGGCTAGGGTGCCTGCAAGGCAGGCGAGTGCATAGCCTCTTTTTGGGGACACTCTCCTGTGGCGACCAGGAGGGTGCTTACCCCCCTTAGTATAGGGATGGGTGACCAGGCAGGTTCCAGCCTGGGGTGACCAGGCAGCTTTGACCAGAGGTTGACACTGGTCTGAGGCTATGCGCATGTCACCTAGTGACCGACCCAAAGCAAACCTGAGGATAGCAGGTGAAACTGACTGAACATTGGCAGGAGCTGGAAAAAAATTAGAGAGTGAGTAGAGTGCGGTACGAAGTTTCATGTTGTCACATTGAGATGTATTTATATATATATATATACATAGTATATACATACAGGATGCATTATAACTATGTATTTATTTGTTTATATTTATATTATGCATGTACGTACGCATACCCCTCCCCCTACCACCAAAGAATGTGTAAGAGTGCGTTCACTCCCTTGTTGGGTGTCGGCAGCGCAAGATAAGGTGACCTCTGACACCCGGAACCAGGAGAACTTTCTGCAAGCCTGTGAATTGTCTTCACAGCTGCTGCAGACGGTGACAGCCAAATATCCTGAGTTCTGCAGACACCATGGGCACAGCACTGTAATCCCTGCACCTCTCTTTTGGGTTGGTGATGCTTCACAGGATGCCTTGGCATCTTTCGAGTATGTGAACGAATCACAAGTCAGGATTGGGAAGACAGAGGTGACGCTCTCATTGGATGCTGGAGTTGCTGGTGGACTCCTGCGTGGCTCCAGGCGAGGCTACTAGTAAGATCT